TATATATATATATATATATATATATATATAATCTTAAATTAATTATTATTTTATTATCTAAAAATTTAAAGGAAAACAATCGAATGATTATTTAAAAATTTGTTCTCAAAGTAACCATAAATCATAAAATGGTTTTATCTCATTGAAATTTTTTTTATTAATTATTTTGTTAATGTTAATACCAACAATAATAATAATTAAATAATAAAAGATACATAAATAAAAATGAAACCACAATTTATTACCGTTCGAATAATATTTTCAAATATAAATACAAACATAAATTATTTTCCAATTATAAATTAAAATTCTCGTTAAAATCATTCCAATAACTTACTGACATATTAATATTAATAATAATTATATATATTTTTAGATATTTCTCGTAATAAAATTCAAACCACAATACGTCATTTCAATATTTCAACGATATCGAACAAAAAATAAAAATAAAAATAAATAAATATAAACAATTCGAGAAACAACAATTACCTTAAAATCATTTTAAAATAATTCAGTCAAACAACAATAAAACAAAATTATCATTTTATCTTTCACAGTATATTATTTTATTTTTAACCATGGTTGTGTGTATATGTGTGTTACTCTTCCTGCAACGATCCCATGGTATTTTCTCGATAAATTTGTTTTAGTTTTTTTTTTTTTTATTCTTTTCCAACGAAAACGTGTCTAATGTTCCGAAACGTTAACGTGCAGCAGCAACTCAACCACGTGTTATGGCACTTGGGTTAAAGATGATCTTACGAGACTAAGGGGAGGTGGGAGGGAGGGGATGGTAAAGTGAAGGGTTGTAAGGTCTAAAAAAAAAAAAGGAAAAAATTTTCTACCAAAAGATATCCCAGAAATCCGTGCAATGTTAAATTCTCTAACCTAAAAGAAACGATTCGTAAAAATGGTACTTACTCAGACTGAATCCGGAATCCTTCACGTGGATGACCACCATTGGCATCAGTACCATAACGATGAGGTTTACGATGTGGAACACCATTCCTGGTCCATGAGCTACGATATCCTGTTACATAAAATATAGAAGAAATACAAGTTACGATAGGATGAAGTTGAATGACAAGTTAAATGTTTCTCGATTGTATGTTTTTTTGGGGTTTCTGAAAATTCAGTTAGTTTTTTTTCTTTTTTTTTTTTTTTTTAAGACTCATCGAGAATCTCTTAGGTAAAATAATTGAATGGTTATTTTCAATTTCAATTTGAATCCCCACAAAATATAATAAAAAGAAAGTATTAGGTTAGCAAGCAAATGGTTTGCAGATTTTGACGATAGGTGGACATTTAAAATCAGCAATGACTTAATTACCAACCTAATAAATTATAATAAATACAAGATAATAAATAAATTGAAAATACTAAAAACGAGGTAATAAATTAATTAAAAATAATCAATAAAAGAAATTTCTCTATTAATTAGTTTATATAAATAAATATTTATTTAATATTAATTAAAACGTGCTTCATTTATTTTAATTTTACAAACACAAATAAAATATTAATATTTAATAATAATATAAATGTTAAATTAAATAATTTTTTAATAACAGTAATATTAATATATTTTAAATATTTTAAATATAAAAATGAAGTGTTGTGTCTGGATTTTGTTAAAGTTGCATCAGGGTTACGTCAGGTTTGCGTCAGAATTTTTTTAAGGGTTTTGTCAAAGTTTGTTTAAAAATTTTATTAAGGTTTTTTTTTTATTTATTATTATTTTTGTATTAATTATTATATTATTTGTCATTTATTATATAAGTAATGTATTAGAAACATTAATTATTACCTAATGGTTAAATTTAAATAAATATTATATATTTATATTTATATTTTTAGTAAGTAATAAAAATTAATATAAATAATAAATTAAATATAAATAGTTTTTTTCAATCTACGATCACATACGCGTATGTTTAATTATTATTAATAATTATTTAAAGAATTGTATACGTGATATGAAAATATATTGAAATTTTGTACCATTGCAAAATATTCTTTTCACGTGAAACGTTTACGAAAGACTTACGTGAGTTGTTTACGCGAATGATTAGTATAAACGTACGAATGGTTTTCTTTTCTCTTTTTTTTTTTTTCTGTCAGTGTTAGAAGTTCGAGTATAAACTAAACGAATCTTATCTCATAGGTAAAAAACGAAAGAAGCAACGAAAACAAATTGGGAATACACTTGGAATACAATGTTTAATCGTTTTGTTGACATTTCCGAGGTCATACGAGTTTTTAAAACGAAAAAGTAATGTTAAACTAAAATTATAAACTTTGTTTTGTTTTGTTTTGTTTTGTTTTGTTTTGTATGTGCATACAGTTACTAACAAAAATATATATACAGTACAGTAAGACTAAATTATTTGTATTATAATTGTATTTTTTAATTGAATGCAAGAGGTGTGTCTTGAAATTTATTTAAAAAAAAATTATGGAAGCATATTTTATTAGTGAAAATTATTATGAATTATTTCAAATTATATTATTATATTTTTTACATTTATTATTTTTATAATATATTATAATTATTAATAAGAATATATTAATAATATAATAATTATATTATATATTATATATTATTTAATTTATTATATAATAATTATATTATATATTATATTTCGTTAATTAATTATTTGTAAGAAATTAAATAATAATTTATTATCAAATAATTAGATATCAAATCTAATTGACAAAAATACTTACTCGTAGAAATTTTAATAAATATATTAATGATTTATTTATATTACTTAATTATTTATTTTTTTTTTTTTTTCATTTAAAATAATGATTCCCTTTCGGGATACATGGGACCCACACTAACTTAATTATTTACTATTAATGTTATTTGCAATTTCATTTGTAAAATTTATAATTAAAATTATTATTTAATAAAATATATTTATAATTATTTAATAATTTATTAAGATTATTATAAATAAAATTATTAATTAAGTTAAGTATAGTCAGTAAACTTTAAGGTACGAATTTATGAAAGTCAAATTTTTTAATACGTTATTATATATAAAAGTAATTTTGAAAAATAAATTAATAAAATTTATTTTACATCAATTTGTTTTAAATATATTAAAATATATTATTTTTCTTCTAAATTTATTTTTAAAAATATTGAATATTTAATATTATAAATGTCTTGATAAATTAATAAATAAAATTTGATTATTGTTAGAACATATTATAATATATTATATAATTTTAAATATTATTATAAATAATATTATTATAAATATTGTTATAAATATTTTCTAAAAATTTTGTTACTTCCTTTTGTTCGAACTTTTCTATATTTTTTAACGTTTATTATTACGAAAAGGGATTATCTTTTTAACGTGTTCGTTTCATCGTAAGATTAACTTCTTCTTCTTCTTCTTCTTCTTCTTCTTCTTCTTCTCGAAAAAAAGAAAAAAAATACTACGTTTCTTATTTTCTTTCATAACAGAATAAAAGAGAAAAATATACCTTTAAGTCGTAATCGATTCTCGATCATATCTTTTTCGATCATTTTTTCAATGTATCTTTCGTTATCTTTGTAGAAAATTTATTTTACATAGAATATCTCTTATATTTATCTTTCTTTCTTTCTTTCTTTCTTTCTTTCCAAGTCCAAGTAAAAGAAAATTCTTCGAATAAAATTGAATATTTTTCTTCGTCTCCTTTTAAATTTATAATTCTGCGTAATTTACGTTCCAATTTTTTTTTTTCTTATTTTCTACAGTACGATTAACTTTTTCTTAAAAAAAAAAAAAAAAAAAAAAAAAGATACGATACGAATGTGTGATCCTAAAAAAAAAAAAAAATAAATAAATAACTAATAATTTCCAACGAAACAATTCAAAAACAAAAAACAATACAACTTTGTAATTTATTTAACAAATTTATCTAATTTAATTTGTTGTTTATTAGAAATTAATTTATTTCAATTTGTTATTTATTAGAAATTAATTTATTTTAATTTGTTATTTATTTAACAATATAATTTACCTTAGTTTGTTATTTATTAGAAATTAATTTATTATAATTTATTATTTATTAAAAATATAATTTACCTTAGTTTGTTATTTATTNAATATAATTTACCTTAGTTTGTTATTTATTAGAAATTAATTTATTATAATTTATTATTTATTAAAAATATAATTTACCTTAGTTTGTTATTTATTAGAAATTAATTTATTATAATTTATTATTTATTAAAAATATAATTTATCAACAAATTAAACCAAAAATATTCCCCACAAACAAACAAACAAACAAACAACACACTGCAATACTCAATTCAACAAAAAAAAAAAATTAATACAAACAAATTAAAAAAAAAAAAAACTGAACTAACATAAAAGCAAATTGTTTATCAGATAATTTATGTTTCAATAATGAAATTATTCAATTCCACTTGTATCTATCGTCAAAACAACAATAAACAACAACGAAATAAAAAGAAAACAAAAAACAACAAAAGGAGGAGTGAGAGGTGAAAGAAGGTGCGCATTCGAGGGTTGTAGGATGAGGAGTTAGGGTGAAGGGTAACATAGAGGGGGAGAAGGGAAGAAGAACAGGGGGGGGGAAAGGTTTGTGCCTGTTAAATATCAAATATTTATGAACCACTTGACCCAATTACGCGACACAAAAGAATACCCATGAATTTCGAGTAAAGTCCGGCAAATTGCACGGTTGAAACATTTATGCTCGCTTGCGCACACACTGCAAAACGCATATGCGCTACTGCATACCTTTAACTCTGCACGTAAACTAAAATAGATAGGAATTAGAGCGAAAAAAAAAATCAAGAAAAAAAAATAGAAAGAGAGAGAGAGAGAGAGAGAGAGGAAAAAAAGAAAGATGATGAAAATAAAGGGATTACTACAAAAGGGAAATGAGAGAATAGTATAATTACCGAGAAACTTTTTCATCGTTGCTACGAACGATTAGGTGATGGTGAAAAGAAACAAAAAAAGATTTGAAAAAGAATTGAAATTTATCAGAACGTAATACTACTACTACTACTACTACTACTACTACTATTACTACTACTTGTAATCGTTGAGATAATTTTAAAAAGAATCTTAATCAGAGGTTTTATATTTATACGATTTTTTTTTCTTTTCATTGTAATTTTTTGTTGTTTCTTTTTTTTTTTTTGAATTTATTTAAATGCAATATTTAATTTGCAATAAATTAATGAATAATTGAAATGATTAGAATATTTTATTAACTTGTGATTTAATTGAAAAAAAAAAGTGTATTCATAATTTAAATATACTGTGCAACAAATCTAATTTGATTTTTGTTAATTTTAATTCTGATATAAAAAATGTACTTCGAACATGTTACTAATTGAAACAAATGTTTTAACACAAATGTGATTTATATTATTTAAGAACATTCATTTTATTTTATAATATATTTATTATTCGATTAAATATAAAAATATTTGTAAAAAAAAAACCATATTACTTTAAAAATTAAATTCCTTATAAATTTATAACATTGATATATACATTAACAATTTCTTAACAATATAATCTAATATAAAGTATTAATAATAAATAAATTCAAATATAAAATAGAATAAAAATAAATAATATTTTTCATTTATATAACGTAACATAATAAAATGAAATAATTAAAAGAATAATTCAAACCAACCATCGAATAAATATTCTAAATAAATACAATTATTAATGAAATGAATATTAATAGTATTAAAATACATAATATATATCCATATAACCATAACTAATTAGTTTATATTAAATTAGTTTAATTTTTGTAAAAGATACGTTTGATCAGAATAAATGAAGACTAATGTCGACATATGATGTCAACGTTCTCTCTTTCTCTCTCTCCCTCACACATTCCCTTTTTCGCATCACGTTTTATATCAAAACAAATATCTTTACAAATACACCCTCACATCCTGAAAAATCACTCATACATATTTACACGTATACATATACAATATACACATTTATACGTTAACATATAACATGCTTCTTAAACGTACACGTACACGTACACGTACACGTACATATAAGCACACCTACATACATATACATAATACACGTACATATAAACACATCTATATACATATACGTAAGTACACGTACATATACATGCTTCTTATACGTACACGTATATATAAATACATATATATATATATATACACATGTAGATACAGGCACGTGCTGCACGTAAACAGACGCATATATATTAAATATAAGAATATAGGTGTATGTATAGTTATATGTGTAACACATATGATAAAAATCAGTGTCCATGGTTTTAAAATTCACGGTATTCGGAAATGCTATGTTTCAGTTACGGACGTGAGCGCATACATGAATAATATTATCAATCCGACGCGAGGAAAATTTATCGTGCTAATTTTTCAGAATGCGGTGCGACGCGGGTAATAGATGTAATAAATTGTACAGGTGTCCGGTTTAAACGGGACGCTATAATTTCGCAGAAATGTAAGCGCAATCACGTACATGTTCGACTATATCGACATCCAGCGCCCCTACCTTTCCTTCCCACCCACTAACCTCAATGGCGACGTATTATTATAACCTAGAAAAAAAAAAACTTTACAATCGTATTCTTTTCTTTTTTATTTTTTTTACTTTAACAAATCAGTGACATCAGAGTTTATTTTTTGCAATTATTTATCGTACGAACTAATTTCAATACAAATTTACACGCATTCGTTTTGCATTCATTAGTTTTCTAATGAATTCTCTTCCATTGTTTTCCACCATTTTGTCGAGATATTAAATTGTAATCAAAAAATTGAGAGTATATACTTTATTATTTAATATATAATATTATTAATATATATATATAATATTTAATATATATATATATATATTAAAAGGAAAAGTTAAGCTTAAAAATGAATAGTAGTACAGGACCGTCCCCACCTAAAATTTCACCCCATGTTTTTAACGTGCATACACGAATACGCATAAAATGTTCTTATAAACGTGCCAATTATTTATTTTAACGTTAAAAGAAACGTTTATTCTGTTTAAAACTTTATGACATCATTAAAACGACGATAAGGAAAAGGAAAGAAATGAATGAAAGTGGAAAAAAATAAAAAATAAAAAAAAAGTTAAAATAAAAGAATATTATTTCACTCTCGTTAAAGCTTATGCTTCGAACATTAAATGGCACGTGACCAATCCTATGCTCTTTGATCGTCTAGATTGAATTGATAACAATAACTGTGTATCGTGACTTTAACCTGTACGTAGACACACACACACACACAAATATTATTCTATCTTTACGCATGAACGTGTGTTGTTTTGGTGTTGGTCGTCATCATAGTCTTATCGTTGAGTGTGTATATGTGTGTATGTGTTAAAACGATCAGATATTAGAAGTCAAAGTCTGTTTGGTTGAAATGGAAAAGCAAAAAAAGGACAGACAAAAATATTGTAAAAGAGAGAGAGAGAAAAAAAAGAAAGTGAAAAGAAGAAGTAGAAGAAGAAAAATAAGGATAAAAATAGAAAAATAGGTTGGACATGCATTATTTATACACGCTTAGTTTAACATTCATCGTGTTTAATTATTCATGGTGCGTTTCGTATATTATAGTCGAAAGTTTCGCATTTTAATATAGCATTTTAGTGTGTCTCGAGTAATTTTCTTTTTTAATTGCCTTTAGTGTTCTTTGTTTAAAAAAAGAAAATTAAAAAAAAAAAAATAAATAAATAAAATAAAAGTACCGCATGTTAGATATACCGATAAATTGTGTATCAAATTAAGACAACAATTTGTATAATAATATAAGTAACAAACAAAAAAGATTAACAGAAAAATAATTAAATGGAAAAAAAGAGAGAGAGAGAGAGAGAGAGAGAGAAGATAGCATAAATAATGTAAATGAATATAAAAATGAAAGATTAAGATTAAAGATAAGTATAAATGAATAAAAAGAGACAGATAAAACGAACAGATGCGTGAGAAAAAATTAAATGGATAAAAATTAATTTATAGGGTGACTTGAGAATTTTGTCTGACCCGTTTTTAAACGGTTTATAAATTGTTACGTTTTTTTTTCTCGTTGTTCGTTATTCTTTAATAAGTAAAGGTAATTTAGATTACAATTAGATAAAGTTGAGTTAAGTAAAGTAAGGTTAGATTAAATTAAATTAAGTTAGGTAGCTAAAATTTAATATATAAAGTAAGGTTAGGTTAGATCCTGGTTAACGAATGCATATAAGTCATTGAAAAATATTTTTAAATGTTATATTATTTCTATTTCTATTATTGTTCAATTATAGATGTATAAAACATGTAAATACATATTTATACATATATATTTAAAATGAACACAGCGTTAAAAATTTATTTAATAACGTGAAATACAAACAAAAAATAATCTAAAAAAAAATACGAATAAATAAGACAAAGATAAATAAATACAGCTAGAAAAAAAAAGATAGATAAAGTTGGTTTAGGTAAAGTAAAGTTAAATTAGATTAAATTAAGTTAGGTAGTTAAAATTGAAGTTTGATAAGTAAGGTTAGGTTGAGTTCTTGTTAACGAGCACGTATAACTCGTTGAAAAAATATTTTTAAACGTTGTAATATTTCTATTTCTATTATTGTTCAATTATAGATGTATAAAACATGTAAATACATATTATATATATATATATATTTAAAATGAACACACACCATGAAAACTGTATTTAACGAAATAAAATAAATCAAATACTAAATACTAATAAGTAAGACAAAGATAAATAGATATGAATAGATAGAAAAAAAAATGAGGATAGAAAAAAAAAATTGTAAATAAAATTCTTAGCTGTTTTAAGATAGAATGGATGTAATTACTTGTAGAGTAAAAACGATGGAGAGTGTGCAAACTATAGTTCGTTTCGATTATTCTCTTTCTTTCTCTTTTATTCTGTCTACTCATTTCCCATCCTTGTTACTCGTTCACGAGTCTGTAACGAGCTTGGGCTGTTTACATTTGAATGTATCGTGCGGGTTATCGTTAAATCAACGATTCATCCTGATAACACGAAAGCTTTAGTAGTATTCGAATCGACTCTCGGAATCGATTGTAAAACGATCGATTGGTATGAACAAAAAAGAAGAACAGAACAACCCCAACGGAGGAAATGAAAAATCTACAACGATGAGTCTTCTTCTCTTTCATTTATTTTTCTATTTTTCTATTTTTCTATTTTTCTATTTTTCTATTTTTCTATATTCTCATTCTCTTCCTCTTTTTTTCTTCTTTTTTNGGGTTATCGTTAAATCAACGATTCATCCTGATAACACGAAAGCTTTAGTAGTATTCGAATCGACTCTCGGAATCGATTGTAAAACGATCGATTGGGGGGGGGGGAAGTAAAAAAAAAGAAGAACAGAACAACCCCAACGGAGGAAATGAAAAATCTACAACGATGAGTCTTCTTCTCTTTCATTTATTTTTCTATTTTTCTTTTTTTTTTTTTTTTATTTTACCTTTCGCGATTCTCATTATCGTTTTTTTTTGTGTTTTTCGATTTCTTCCCAATATTTATATTCCAAGAATCTTTTTTTTTTTAATTAATTTCGCGTAAATTTTTGTATTTTTGTTTTTTTTTTTTTTAATAATATATTTCATCGAAATTAATTATATATATATATTTTTTTTTAATTTTAAATTCATTCAAACTTCGCTTAAAAAATCCTATCCAATTATTTTAGCGAATTATTTCTTTTTACTTTTTTTTTATTTTTTATTTTTTTTTTTGTTAATTACTTCAACCGATTGAAAATATTTTACGTATAATTAATCGAATTATTGTTAAATCATTATATTAATAAAATTAATAAAACCATTATGTTTTTTTTTTTTTTTTTTAGATCGTGGAACTATTTTTCTACGAATATCTAATATTTTTTTTTATCTATAGATAAATTAATTAATGATCGTATTAAATTTCACTTTACAAATGGCATAATTTCAATTTGAGAAAAATGTAATATCATATTCGTAAAGTTATATCAATTACGTCACTTACCATAGACATCCCCTTTTCGATTAACAAGCAAAGTGTCACAGGCACGGTTGAATCTAGAAAAAGAAAAGAAGAAAAAAAAATTAAAATTCCAAAAAAAAAAAAATATCATAATTCAAAGAATATCACTTGATATAATATATGTGTCGAACGTTCGGGTATCGTTTAATTAACGAGTGGCTAATTAATTAGATTAAAATCTATGTTATATCAATCATCAAATGTCGATGACAGAAAATCCGATAACATTGTTCATACACACATATATATATATACACCTATCACATTTACCTATGTATACAGGGTGATTCTTGTAACGGAGACGAGTAATAACTTTCTTTTGAGTAACAATAGAAAAAAATCATAAAGGAAAAAGTTATATGGCACAACAAATGTCAACTTTCTATGACCTTACTTTTTTTGAAAATGCATCGATGCACCGGCTAGATGCAGTTGCACTATTTTTTTAAATGAAACATTATATTTTTTTTTACACTATTCGATTCCTTTTTTTATTCTGCGTTAAAAAGTATTAATTGAAGGTCATCGAAATGTCAATAGTTTACGAGATATTTGATGTTTTATATCATATACTTACGTATGTACGTATATTTACATATAGATACATACACCTACCCATTTAACTATTCATACATACTTACATGTTATACATTGCATACATACTTATACAAATATATATGTATATGTGTACAGTACCATTTAAGAATTAAAAAATGTATATTTAATATGTAAAATTTGTATATTAAATTTTTATAATAATTCATCATTATTATATTAAATAAAAATATTTAATAAATTGAATTAGGTTTTAAAAAATATTTACAATCTCGTTATGTTTGTTAAAAACTTTTTTGCATAATTTAAACAATCAAATTAATCTTTTGTTTATTATTTTTTGATAATTTCTACAAGCATAGAAATGAAAATTAATTAAAAAATTTTTCTATAAAAGTAATAATTGACAGGATATTTGAAATATCTTGGATTATTAAAAAAATTACTCGTTCGTTTTACCAAAAAAAAAGAAAAAATATTATTGAAAAATGTAAGGCACACGTCAATCGATTTATGTTTTGTTTAATTTAATAAAATTACATTTTCATTTTGTTCTTTATTTGAATGATCTTCTCTCTCTTCACGTTTTTTTTCTCATCTTTGAATTTTATTCACAAACTTTTGACTGCAAGTGTATAAATACATTTCACTGATAATCTAAAAAGACCGATTTTATTGAAAACTCGTCACGATTGAATAAAATGTACGTTTTTGCTCCCTTGTAACCTTCGAAATAAAATAAAAATAAAAATTGAAATAATAAAATAGCATACTTCACATTTTTCATTTACGAATACCAATACTCATTTCTACATACACACACACATATATACACGTATCCCATATGATTTAATTACAAATGAAAATGTAATGAATATGGAATACGTTTTGTAGGTAAAAATCGTGACACTCGCGTTTCAGGATGAATTTGGGATGGGGGTGAAGGGAACGGGACAGAGGGGAGCAGAACAAAATTAAATATATATATAAATATTATAAAATTTAATTTGTAAAATGTAATAATATAAAAAAAGTAAAAAAAAAAACAATAATAATATAAATATAATACTTCGTAGATGTTATTTGCAAGTTAATTGAAATTACTGACCAAAAATTTACTCATCCATGTAAATAATTTTGGTTTCTTATTTAAATGATCCAAGATATTATTTCAAAAAAAAAAAAAACACAACATGATTTATTAAATGATTAAAAATAACAAATATATAACATAAACAATTTATTATTGAACAATATCCATCCCCTGCGAGTGCCATTTAAATTCACCTTTTAATAACTTTTTTAACATGTTGAACGCCACGCGAATTCTTAGGGAAATTCCTGTCAGGCCACAGGCGTTACTTTGTATTGAAAAAAATACTTGAAGTGTCAGTCATCCATGACTGACGCGGCCTAAACGTAAAGTCTAGTGTCAACCACCGATGACTGACGTGGCGCTCAACGTGTTAAACTGACTGTAATTTAATCATTGAATAGAAAAAAAATATTTAAAAAAAAAAAATAATAAAAAACAAAATCATTTTATCGAACGATGCAATTAAAATTAAATATAAAATTCCTGATCAAATATTTTTTCTATTTTATTAATATATTTTTTTGTTTTAGTTGAAATATAAAAGTTGAAATATTAAAGATTAATTTAAAAAATGTTAAATGGATAAGAGTCGTTCGATTTCTTTTCGTAAACTTCACCCTTACGTACCCACAGCAACCCTCAACCCTCAACCCATCCCATCTCATCCCATTCCAACTCAACTCAACTTAACCCCCTTGAACCGGCACAACTGGTTCCGGCACTGGGTTCTCTTCTTCTTATTCGCGTTTTATTCTTCGAACGGGATATTTCTCTCTCCTCTTTTGGCATAAAATATGGCGAAACTTAAATAAGTTTAGAAGATGCAACCGGCCGATAGGCAAAACTCGTGAAATTGAGAAGCGTGAGATTCGTTTTGGAAGAAACTGCAGAATATCTTTATCTCTCTATTTCTATCTCTCTCACATACACACAAATATACATACACACAGACAGATTTTCTATCTCTATCTTTATCTAACGTATTATGAGACACACGTATTAAGAATATTTCTAAATGTTTCTAATTATTGAAATTAAGTTTTAATTGAATTTGTGAATAATTTGTTTTCATTTTATTTTTTGGAATGTTATTTTGAAATATTAAATTGGTTTAATTTTTTATGATAATTTTTAATGATTTTTTTTAATCAATTTTATTAATAAAAATATATTAATCGTTTATTCTTACTGTCTAATTAATAAATTCGTGATATTAGTGAAATATGTTGATAAATTTTTAATTAATAAATATTCAACATAAATATTATAGATTTTATTATATTAAAAAAATATATTAAATAATATATTATATATGTGGGACAAGCGCTTCCATGCCAAACTTATCAGGTATTATTGAGAAAAATTGATCGGTGGGCCCTGGATAGCTCAATTGGTTAAAAAGAGCAGTCACCCACCCGGAAAGCGAAAGATCCGTGGTTCGAGTCCAGTCAAGTCAGCGGGTAGAATTTTTTTTCACGAATCCCACATATATTTATTATTATTTATATTTATTATAAATTTCGTTATAATAATAGTAATATTAAATTATTAATAATTTAATAATAAATTTATTAATATTATCAATTTATATTATTATTATATTATATTAAATAATAATAAAATATAATATATTAAAATAATATATATAATATATTACAAAAATATAATATATTAAAAATATTTAAAAAGTTTCTTTAATATTATTCTTCTTAAATATCTAAAAAAAACATATATCTAATATATCTAGTTAGAATAAAAAAAAAAATGTATAAATACAAATAATAATTAATAACAAAAATTAATAAAATTCTTAAAACCCAACATTCCAATCGCCCATTCTCCAATTATTTTTAAACAAATTAAATTACAAAATGAAACACTTAATTCATAACTAATAAAACAAAAATAAATGAAAAGAATAGGTAAAAGTGTGTTGATACTTGTTAACAAACAAAAAAACAAAATAATAATAATAATAAAAGAAAAGAATGTGAGAAAAAATAAAAAAAAAAAAAACAAAAATAAAAAATTAAAAGGAAAGAGAAGAAAGGAAAAAATAAAAATAAAAAAAAAAAAAAAGGAAAAATAGTGAGAAAAAGGTATGAAAACGTTTCACGTTTACGTGAGAAGGGGGTTTCGTTTTAACGACGCGTGTAAAATGCAAAACAGGCAATTAGGACGAATTAGTCACAATTAAAGGCTATTCTAAGGGGGAACGAACCAAGCGAGAATAACTACACCTGTCGACATCTCAACCAACCCAAACCCCAACCCCTAAGCCCCCATACATACTACCACTACCACCATCACCACCCCTGGAACCAACCTTATTCACTTTCACATTCTCTCTCTTTTTCTATCATACGTCACACGTTTAAAACTACACATAATGTATGTTAATATCATCGGTGATCGAATTAAACGATACGAATACGTATACTTTGGTCAGATAAAAAGAAAAAATGTAAAAAAAAAATGTTACGAAAGAAAAATTAGGAAAATAAAAAAGTGAAACAAGTTAATATTGAAAGTTTAAACAAACGTGAAAAGTAAAAGAAAGAGAAAGTGAAAGATGAACAGATAAAAGGGGGGTGGGTGTGAGTAAAAAGAAAGAACTTAAGGTCAGATAATTATGAGTCGTCATATCGAAAATCATTTTCTACCCCCTTTAACTGCTAACTGTCAATTATCACCGATCTATTAATTACTAATTGGGTATGTATATATATATAAATCGTATTACATTTTGTTAACGTGCTACGTCAGATCAATTAGAATCTTTATCTTTGTAAAATTGATATTTCAAATGTCGATATGTCTTTATTGTTTTTATGTGTGTGTCTTTTTCTATTAACGGAAGGAAGAAGAGAAAGATAAAATAAAAAAAAAAGAGAGAGAGAGAAAAAAAAGGAGCAATATCCAATAATTATCTTTCTGAACGTCATACGGAAACTCGGATTCGATTTGTATGTACATATTTCCAAACCTTTCAAATCTGCTCTCTCTCTCTCTCTCTATATATATATATATATATATACAGGGTGATTCACCAGATCTTGCCACTTAAATAGCACCGAAAGTTGCATGAAAAATTCATGAATATAATATGACATTAGTGTTTTCTGGCTAGCTTGAGTCATTTTCAAGATTTATTGGTCAATTTCGTTTTTTTAAATACAATGTTACATTTAAATACTTATTTTCGGATAACGGGTGACAAGACGAATCCAATGATGTGCAACATTAAATACTAAACTTGATAATAACATTCATATCATTAGTTGTCGAATTAACTGAAGGATGACGTAACCCTGACGCAACCGTGATGCGACCACCACGTGATTATATCGCATAAGAGCTGTATTGTGATCAATTTGTTCGCAA